GCCCACAGCGTGCGCCTGGCGCGCGGGGACCTCTGTGCGCTGGCTGAGCGCCTCGACATCGTGGCCAGCTGCCGCCTGCTGCCCGACATCCGCGGCGTCCCGGGGACCGAGCCCGAGCAGACCTCAGGCCCGCGAGCCTAGCCGCCAACCGCTTGACTGTCCACTTCCTGCCTCTTGAGACCTACCTAGCTCTGTCCCCTATGTGGGTGTCCGACCCCCTGGTGCTGTCACCCTCAGGGCTACCCTCACCCGCCTCATCCAATGGTTCCTCCCTCCTGAGCCTGTCCCTTGGCATCCGCTAACTCACTGGTCTGTTTCTACCCTCCGGGCTTATGGTGCCCCACCTTTCTTGCGCCCTGCCTCTCTGAGCTTGATTGTTGCCCCGAAGAGGCTCTGGCATCTGGCCCAGATTTACAAGCACCTTTCTCACTCCAGGGCTACTGCTCCTCTCCAAGCACAACCTCTAGGGATATTTGTCCTTTGGCCTCGAGCCTTTTATCCAAAAGCACCTAGTCCGCTTTGGCTCCTGGGTCCAGTTCTTGTTGGGTGGTCTCTTAGTGCTGCCTCTGCTTACTTGGCTCCACCTCCCGGGTCGGCTCTGTGTCAGGGTTTAGCTGTACAGCTTTGGCATTGACTTCATTTTGGTCTTCCCATCTCATGCATCTGAAAAGATAAGGCTTTTCAGAAGCGAATGGGGTCTCCTCCCTGGTCTCCTCGGGTTGGCTTGCACCTTCTACCCCTGCAAGCTCAACAGCCTCCTTCTGACTTCCCAGACCCAGGGCCGCAGTCTTGCATAGACTCCGAGGCAAGGGGATTCCCCCTCTCAACTCAGTATGCAGAGATGGCGTCCTCTGCGCAAGCTCCCAGGCACAAGGTAGGGAGCGCCTCCTTCTGGCACCAGGCTGAACGTTCCCTTCTGGAGCTTGGGGCCCAGCGCAGCGCCATCCAGGTGCTTTGGACGCCATAGGACACCACTTTGCAAATAAAAAGACCTTGTGCTTTAGTGCGTGGAAATTGATGCCCTTGAATTTAAAGGCATCTCCAAGCAACAGTATAGGGTTTTGAAAGCTTTTAGAGCCCTAATGCCATAGAGCCTTAGTTAGGTCCTGGGCTACTCATGAAGCCAATCCCTGTTGGAAGAAAGAGGAAGCCACCGTCTGTGAAGATTTATAGCCTCAGAAACCGAATGACATGTCACAGTGGGTTCTGTTTGGTTTCATTCTTGAGCAGTTTGCCGTGTCTTTCCCCTGCATCAGCTGTTGAGGTTTTGAACCACCAAGCTTTAGGTGATTCCGCTGTTGGTGTACCATTGAATCAGAAGCAACTCATAGCTGACCCTCCAGCATGTTTTCAGAGGCAGTATAATTGCGTGGGAGATTACCTGTCTTTCGCCCATAGCGCTGCAAACCACACCTTTGACTAGATGAGCACTAGAGGCTTCACCACAGCGCCACCAAAAATGCTGAAATTCTGACTCAGCTGTAGGGTGGTGGTTAGCCAGCTTTCACCTGCTCACTGGCGCTCAGTTCTAGCCCCGAGAGTTGAACTACTCCATAGGGTTTTTCAATGGGTAATTTTTTTTTTCTTAAAAAAAAAAAAAAGAATGTCAGTCTTTCTCCCCAGACACCTCAGAATGGACCTTCAACCTTTTGATTAGCAGTCAAGCCCATGAATGCCTGCACTTTCCTCTTTTCTCCCACCTCTGGCTGAGAACTGCCCCTCGCCCTAGAGAGCGGGCGACAAACGCTCAGGGCAGACTCATTCATACTCAGAATCTTTCCTGAGCAGGATCCCTCCAGGATAGAGGTGGTCTGTTTGATGAGTTCTCTGAGAATGGTGTTCCAGAAGAGGGCTTCACCCACCTCTGCTGTATTGAGAGGACATAGCCAGAAATCAGGGCCCCTCAAGCTTTGCCTGGGTTCAATGCTCGTTTGTGTGTGATGGAGTTGACACATTTCTTGAGCGCCTGTTGTATGCCTGCTTCTGCCACATGCTAAGAGTGTGTCAGCCTGACTGCTCGCACAGAGCTCACACAGCCCGCGGGGGAAGCATTAATAAAATAGGCCTGTAAATTGTTAATAAAATATGTAAAATCAGTGGAGATTTTAATCACAGTCTGTGGTCTAGATAGGCCTGTTAGTTGCTTCGAGTTGGTTCGGGCTCATGACCCCAGAAGTGCAGAGCACCTCCATAGAATTATGACTTTTCGGAAGCAGAACACCAGAGGTGTCTTCCCAGATGCCTTATTGTGGGTTCAAACCACCAACCTTCTAACTATGATTAGAGATGAATTTGTTAGGATTCAACCTAATTTGGGGAGGGGGTAGGTTTCAAATAGTTTTCCTGAGGAAGTGATGAATAAAGTGGAATTGAACCCTAATGTCGATGAAATGGGAGTGGGGTGCAGAAGGGTGGCGGGCAGAAGGAAACAACCCACTGACCTAACAGCCCAAAACCAAACTGTCAAACCGATTCCAACTCAGGGCGCCCCCGTGTGCTACAGAGTGGGATTACACCATTGACGGCGTGGTGGTACCTTTTTCATTGCTATTAAGTCTTTTTTTTTTCTTTTCAATTTTTATTTTCTTTTTCTTTGTGTGTGTACTGTCAAATCGGATCTGACTGGTATAGGAGGAGATTATCCCTCCTTCTCCAGCAGAGCACTGGTGGATTCAAACCGCACACCTCTGGGATTGCAGTGCACTTTCTTGCCACTATCATTGCTATTAAGTCTTTACACTCCCTGCCGTGAGTTTTGAAAGCTGTGGATCACATGATCGCATGGGAGGAGCTAGCCAATCATTCTCCCACGAAGCCACTGGTGGTTTCCAACTGCCCCTAGAGGGGCGTGGCCATGAGGTTGCTGCTCCCTTGGCTGTATATGGATGCCACAAATAGTTAAACTTTTCTACCATCGTTCAGAAGATTAGAGGTTCAAACCCACCTGAGATGCCTTGGAAAACAGGCCCGGCAATCTGCTTCCAGAAGGCCTTAGCCTTGGAAGCGCTGTGGGGCAGGTCTACTCTGCACGTGTGGGGTCTCTAGGATTTAGACCAGGCGCAACAGTACCGAAAAGCAATCAGCGTGGAAGTAGATTGCCAGGCCTTTTTTCTGCACTACAAAATACCAAGCTTAATTTTAGTCGTTAAGTACAAACTACTTGCACCACCTGGATTGCTTTTCCTCCCCTGGTCGTGGAGTGGAGGCAGGGGTGGTGAGTGTGGAATCAGCAAGGGCCAGAGGGTGGAGGGTTCTTTTCACTGAGCTGCCATCAGTCTCTCTGCTGGGTTTTGGCTTTGTCTGGTACCTGGTATCTCTCCTTTCCTTCCAACTCCTCCAATTTGTGATGGTACTATCGACCTGGTGCCTGTTCCACCGTAATATTTTGGAAGTGAATGACCTCATATTCTAGATTTACAGAAAATTTCGGCGCAGGGTGGAATCTGGAGCTGCTCTGTGTGATAATCTCCTGTGTGATTAACTGCCTCTGAAAACCCTCTGAAGGTCAGCTATGGATCAATTCCGCCTCTCCGGTACACAATAAGAAGACAAGAGTTTTGCATGTGCTAGGACATGAATTTTAAGAAAGCCCAAGGAAGTGTAGAATGCCATAGATCGAGTTCTACTTCCTTCACCTGCCCCCAAATCCACGTTGACTTCACTAGACCATGATTCTCAGTGGTTTGGCGGTGATGCAGGGATGTAATCATTCCTGTGATTGGATCGGCCAGTCAGTTTTAAGGGGATTAGGGTGGGATGTTGTTGTTGTTATGTGCCATCGAGTCGTTTGTGACTCATAGCGACCCTGTGTACAACAGCCCTAAACCGTGCTCTATCCTGTGCCAATCTCACTGCCTCTGATACACCCATCCCGATTACCCCAGTCACTGAATCAATTTACCTCATAGAGGGTCTTCCCCTCCTGCGCTGTCCCTCTACTCTACCCAGCATGATGTCCCTCTCTAAAGACCTGTCTCTCCTTACAACATGTCCAAAGTATGTCAGACGAAGCCCCAGAATCCTTGTCTCCAAGGAGCAGCCTGGTTTAGGTGCTGTCAAATCGAGCACAACTCATAGCAACCCAGTGAACAAAAGGTCTGAACTCTGTTCTATCCTGTGTCCTCCTTTTGCTTCCCGACACACAAGAATGCATTGCAACAGTCACCATGTCAAGCCACCTGGTTGAAAGTCATCCTCTCCTCGCGGACCCTCCACCCTTGCCAGCATCATTTCCTCTCCAAGGAATAGCACCTCCTAGCAACATATCCAAAGTATGTGAGGCAAAGCCTCATCATTCTTCCCTCCAAAGAGCACTCAGGCTGCACCCTTTCCAAGACATATCTGCTCTCTTGGCCGTCCATGGGATGTTCAGTACTCTTCTCCTAAACCACAGCTCAAAGGCATGAATTCTTTTTCTGTCATCCTTATGCATTGTCCAGCTCTTGGACACATAGAAGCTATTAATCGGAAAGACTATGGCCTGAATCAGGGTAGAATGGAACATCCTTATACAGGTCTAAGCCCTGAGTAGGTATAAAGGGAGTTTCCCTGCAACTTCTTTAATTCTCCAAAGTAATGAAAGGAGAGAGAAGTGAGCAGGGAGAGGGAGGCCTCAGTGCTGCTGGGACACAAACGCCTGGAGCAAAGAGTATTCTCTGCGCTGAGAAGGACATAGGGAATCTCCCAGGATCACCAGGCCGCAGATGTTTACGTGAGACAAGGCCTTTCCCCTCGAACAGATAGAAGGGTTGGTTTCCTCTTGGGTCGGCATCCTGAATTCCAAAGACCTTGTTTCTGTTAAGGAATTGAGCTAACTCTGATTTTGTTTTTAATTTTTTTTAAAAAATGTTGTTTTGTTGTTGAGAATACACACAGCAAAGTATGCGCTAGCTCAGCAGTTTTTCCGCGTATAATCCAGTCAAGTACGTTCTTCATGTTGTGCAATGATTCTTACCCTCCCTTTTGGAGCTTTTCCCCCCATCCCTGCTAGGCTCCCTAAGTAATATTTCCTGTTGCTGTGGTCGATTTTATCCCATATAAACAATTGTCAACAAAGTGTAATACTCAAGGCATTCATTCTATACCATTGACGCTTGAAAACCAACAGACATCACAGCTCACAAGAGCACGCAGAACCCAAA